GCACATGTGTAGTATGGTCGTGCTTCGCTCGGCCTCACAGAGCATGAGAGTGGTTACACCTTGCAAATGCAACATTGGCGTTACCTTCCTGGCTAAACCATTCTGACAACGAAGAAAACACGTTCGGAGCTACGGTCGCTCGGAGGACAACAACGAGTGATGTTTGGTCTAAGTATCTTACGATTTTACTTGTTCTCGTCTCGGAGACCTCATGACCCACAACATCTACGTACTTGTAAACGTTGATACTGCCATCTCATCGCGCCCTCGCTTGCGTGTCCCTCCATGAACCTCACTTTCTCTGCAGCTCCTGACGGTGTGGTCGACGCTCTATTGGCTGAGCAGAGCGACTCGCTGAAGTTGTTGCGCTCCGGAGGAACGATCAACAACTTCGACCTCCCAATGGAATGGCTCCACACGGCGATCCCGCCAGCGCCTTTGCCTCCCTCTGCGGGCGCGAACGCGGACGGAGTGGACAACACACCCTCTCGGGCGAACGGGCTGTCAGAGCCCTCTAAGAGAAAGGCCTTAAACCCAGTGCGTCCAACGTCGCTAACACCACCCAGCGTTGGCGACATCGCATTCTTCAAGGCGGAGGAAGCTCCGTTTGTGCTGGGGGAGGTGCTGAGCATAGCTGCAGACGCCTCGCCGGTGAACGTCAACATCCACTGGTATGGGCCTATCAACAATACCGTTAGGGCGGGAGCGGGCAGCGCGATTGTCGAGGACTATGCCGTGTCGCGTTTCAGCAAGGATTTCATCCTAACGAGCGGCGCGACGCGCAGAACGCCCGATGCCAGCGACGAGTCTACCACACGCATTATCGCATGCTGCAGTTCGCTAACTTCAACGGGTAACATCCCGGCGAGAAATAAAAAAGTGCTGATGGAGACTTGCCGGCCTGCACCTTCGTCGTCCTCGGAGAGCGAAGCAAGTGACTCGGACGACGACGGGTCTGGAAGCGGACTCTGAGGAAGACGAGTCCGATGACGACGGCTATGGTTCAGAGTAGTCCTGGCACCTAGCAGGGACTAGATTGATGTCGAGACCGGGGCGTTCTGGGGATCAAGAAGATTTGTACTACTAGCGGTTTTGCGCCATACGATGGTCGACATTTGTCAACTTTGAGCTCTGTACCCAAATCTTGTCGTAGGGGCTGTGGGTCTTTCCATCATNCATTATCGCATGCTGCAGTTCGCTAACTTCAACGGGTAACATCCCGGCGAGAATTAAGAAAGTGCTGATGAAGACTTGCCGGCCTGCACCTTCGTCGTCCTCGGAGAGCGAAGCAAGTGACTCGGACGACGACGGGTCTTGAAGCGGACTCCGAGGAAGACGAGTCCGATGACGACGGCTATGGTTCAGAGTAGTCCTGGCACCTAGCAGGGACTAGATTGATGTCGAGACCGGGGCGTTCTGGGGATCAAGAAGATTTGTACTACTAGCGGTTTTGCGCCATACGATGGTCGACATTTGTCAACTTTGAGCTCTGTACCCAAATCTTGTCGTAGGGGCTGTGGGTCTTTCCATCATAGTAACATAACCTTCGAAGTGCCGTGTGCTCATATTTTTTTTTTTGCTAGTGCGTCAGGGAATCTATCGAAATTGACCGGAAAACACGCGTATGAACTCGTAAGAAATCTGTGTCTGCCCGGGGGGTAGGGGGGGTGGGGGTGTTGAACCAGGTGCGGTTTGGGGTCCTTGGCGGCGGAACTATCGTGATTTTCGGCGTTGCCGATGGTGTTAGCTCGGGCGAAAGGGCGTGTGTTCGATTTGGAAGACGCCAGAGGATGTTTTTCGTTGGAGCGACAATAAATTATTTGGCACCAACCTGCCCAAACATTTTCTCATTAAAAAAATAATTCTCAATAAGTATAATCCGGTGTTTGTGGTCCAAATTGTACTTTGGAGGGTTTCAAGGTAAGACCGGCCGCTTGGAGTGCTTGGAGCATGCTTTCTAATAAGGTTAGATGGCTCTCCCAATTTGAGCTGCAGCAGATAATGTCGTCCATATACACCAAAAGTCCACTGCGTGGTCCGAAGTGAGAGAATGCCAGAGACATCATGCGGGCAAACAGAAAAGGAGCATTCGCAATTCCGAAGGGGAGGCGTTTGAAAACCCATTTCCCTTTGTGTGTCACAAAAGCGGTCTTTTCTTGTTCTGCTTCGTCTACTTCAATTTGGTGGTACGCTGACTGAATATCGCAGACAGTAGTAAATTTCGCACCTCCAACGATATCAATATGGAATTCTTTATCTGGCATGGGCCAGGATTTTCGAATTAAACCCTTGTTAATAGTAGAGCGGTACTCAACGCAGAATCGAGGAGTGCCATCAGCTTTTGCTACGATGGTAACAGCAGATCCCCATGAACTAGGTCTCTGTTCAATAATCTCCTCGTCTTCCATTTGTTCCACACACTTGTCGATGACTTCTTGCGCTCTAGGATTAGTACGATAGGGAGCACGATCGACTGGTTTAGTGCCTGGTTCTAGCGGAAAATCTGCCTTGGCTATCCTGCATTTTCCGAGCTCCTTCGGAGTTAATGAAAACACATTACGGTATTTCGCGCATAAGTCCAAGACTTGCGAGCATTGTTCAGGAGTAAATGTAGTGTTCGTGAGCGCTTTTTTCATGGCTCGTTTCAACTCGTCTCGCTTGTGTCGGAATGTGGTTCGGTCGCTATTGACAGCGCTAACTGTTTTATCGGCAACCGATTTTACTGGCGAAATGTACCCCAAAATAGTGTCGCGTGCAATGTGAACGTGTCGTTTGAATGGATTAGCAACTTGTACTGCAGCGGACTTGTCCTTTGCTGACCAATCGCATACCGTTCTAGCGACTACGATTGTACGGAACGCTTCGGGTATATTTTCAGACGTTTCGATGTCTTGGGCAGTGACAATCCGTGGCTCGACCAACGCAGGCGTGTTTGCCTGTGGTGCGTGTTTTGTCACGACGTCTACTGCCATTTCACTTTCGGGGGGGATGCAGAATCTCTTAGAGAGATATACGGGCACCGCTCCTATCGATGGGTCAAGCGTCACTATGGAAATTTGCGCTGGGGCATCATTATTGGTGTCCACTTGACTATTCGTACGTCTGTGAGTTGCCGGAATTTTTCGTGTTGAATTTTTAAATGAAAGTTGCTCACCGCACCAATCAAGGACGGCACCAAAGGCATTCATAATGCTATTATCGAGCAACATCTTATCCGGACCTAGGTTGGGCAACACGAGGGCCTCCACTGGTAGTGTGATATCTCCCAGTGTGAGCTTAAAACGTATGTATCCTAGGATTTCTAACGCTGAGCCATCTGCACTATTCAGCTGAATTGCGCCAGGAGGCACAGGTTTCAGAGGTAAACGTTGCAGGACTGGATGCGATTTAATAAAAGACGCTGATATACACGGTACATCAGCTGCTGTGTCGATAGTGAGGTCAGACACAGCGTGATTACAAACTCGGGCAGGAATTCGCACTCTCTTGGAGGACGAATTTAACGCATTCGGATGTTGTGGATATTTACTCAGTGCTGACGCATGAAACGCCGCATAAGTGGGTCCACCACTCGATGCACTTGAAACAGAGGCACGTCTTTCCGTGTTATGAATAAATTGCATACTACCAGTCAGTACAAATTCAGCTTGCGGGGCTAACCTAGAAGTCGGCGCACGAGTGCGTTTGTTCTTCCTATTTTTCCCTGCTTTGCTCCTTGACCGACTATGAAACGGTGCCTGGGCAGAATCTGTTACCGATGTGTCAGAATTACTGCTAAAATCTTGGACGGATTTCACATCACCACCTCTCACCCGAGGAAAAATGATTCCCTCGTTTTGCTACTGTCATGCACATACGGGGCTAAATCAACTGGGGCATCCTGTGCTACATGAGTTTCTTCAGCTAATGGTGTGCTATCGACCTGTCTCCCTACGAGCGAGGAGTCCCGTGAAGGGCCCCGTCAAGCTTTAGTCCAAGTCCATCCCTTGTCTTGATCGTGTTTTTTCTTTAAACCGCACTGTTCAAGGGGGTGGTTGAACTTGACCCCCGGGTAGGGGCACGGTTCTACTTTCGATGCCGAGGAAGAACTGCCTTTACCCGCGGTGGGCGCCTTTTTCGGGGCTCCCTGACTCGCTGTGCTGTTCTTGGTCAGTGGCCGCATTGACTTGAGCCGGGTGACCTCAGCTTGCAGGTCTTTGATAACCGCCGTGTTTGAGGACACAGTCTGCTTCAGCTGTGGGGGTTCAGGGTACGCGACAGCAGATACGGTGTCGGATATGGGTGACGCTACGCCTCTCAGATTATTTGCCTCGTGTTTTTTCGCGCGAAGTCTTGCGTCCTGAAATGAGTTTGGAGGGTCCTCTCGAACACACTCTACTCTAATGTGAGGTTTCAGGCCGTTCTCAAATGTGGCAGTCATGAAAACGTCCCATGCGTGTTCGTAGTGGCTAATGTGGGAGGGATCTGAGCGAGCAGCCTCTGCAAGGAGGCGTGTGCGGGCCTGAGTCACTTTGAGCGCAAACCCGTCCACTGTCGTCTCTCCTTCCCGCCTGAGAACGGCCATTTCTCTAGCTAGTATCGCAATGCGGATGGGCGCGGAGAAATGAAAGGTGAAACCATGACAGTATCCATCCCAAGTTGCCGGTGCTCGTGGCCTGACAACTTGTCCTGCATTCCGGAGTGCGGTCAACCGGTGTGCCGATCGCCATTCGAGAGTACCACTAACCAGTTCCACTAGAGTGTCATAGGCTTGGCCTCGAATGACGAAGGGGAGGAATTGAATCGCTCTTTGGTCTACTACAGATTCGGCCGGGTCGTCTGCTGCAACAGAGGCTAGTTTCACACGTGCTCGGTATCGGGTCAGTATCTCAACAACATCGGAATCTCCTGGTTTCCCCGAAAACGATATTTCTTTCGGAAGGTCGTTCTGGCGAAAAGTAAATTTCTGGGTGTGTCCCGATGTATGTGTTGAGGTAGGGGTGCTTGTGGGCATAGAAAAATGCGCCAGTTGAGGTGTAGACAGTGCTACAGGGTTGCTAGGCCTGTATGTGCTGTCCTGGCTATCCGGAGTAGATGCCGACTCGGGTGCGACAGGGTTGCTACGCCTGTAATCACTATTCTGGCTATCCGGAGTAGATGCTAAACCAGGGGCTAGGTTCCGAGGATGGGCAGGTGTGTTCTGAGTGACAGTAGGCAAGATTGGTTGACGGAGAACTAGGTCGGGGGAGGTGCTACCTCCACTGCTCTGATTTCCCTCAACTGGTATACTGCTACGTGCTGTCGAAGAAGTATTCACCTGAGCCACTTCCTCTGCAGAAGCCGGAGTCGTGGTGGTGGGAGGTGCGGTGGGGCGGAAGAGGGACACCAGCCACTCGGGTGGAGTGGACTTCTCCGTCCAGTGGCGTGAGAGCATGTCAGCAAACTGGCCCCCAGCGGAGGTCATGAGCGCGTGCCGATCGTCCGCGGACACGTTCTGTGACCGGAAGCCGTCGAGCAACTCGTACATGACATGCCGTTCGCTCTCGTTGCCCCATTCCCCTTCGTCGCCATCGTTGTCGTCCTCGTCGCTCCCGTTCTCTGTCCCCTCGGGGGTGGCACCTTTCTCCTCGCCGGTGGCTGGCGCGGCCTCCTCGGGAATCGGCTCCTGTTGGGGCCGATCTCCCTGAGAGGGAACCTGCACAGACACACGCTCCGAGGGGGTGCCCCTTCTCGGTGGGGTAGAGGTCGACAGCGACGGGGGGACAGTACCGGCTAGCTTTCGCCGCAGCTCCTTGAGCTCCCGCTCCTGGTTCGCTAGCGCCGCATCTTTTCAGCTACCAGTGCAGCCGCCTTCTTGACTTGTTCGCGAAGCTCTTTCTTGCGCTGCGAGGAGCTTTTCGTCATTTTCTCGTCGTTTCTTTTTTTTTTTCTCTCCTCGCTACAGCAGTAGTCACGGCGGAGCCGTGTTCTAGTCGACGCCAATATGGACCCTGGCTACTGTCGGAGCAGAGGCCGGTGCCTTGGCAGTATTATCCCACTGCCAGGGAAAGGCTATTTCCTCTCGTGATATGTAAACTAGGAAAAGAGGGTAGAAAGAGAGAGTGGCCAGAGAGAGCAGAGGGAGAGGAGAGTCGAAGACTCTCCGCTTCTCCGTTTGGCAAGTGGCCATGGACTTCGGAAGAGACAAATCTCCGACGGCGCGTTTCTTGTCACTCTCCCAGTGACAAGATACTCCGATGGAGCTATATCTTCCTACACTTTGTATGTGTACACATAGTTGGTTATACTCCTGACAGGTGTCCTCCACATAGCGGAGAAAATAGTTATCCCCGACAAGTACTTTAAACCATCAAACCTTCCCCACACCACACATGTGATGACTACTGAGAATCACAACGCAGACGACAAGGTTCCAGCGGGAACTGATCGCGGCGGGTCCGGTCGTAGCAAATGTGGAAACGACAACGCCTATTTCGGCGCTTAAATAAACCAGCTCACACCACTCAAACACGGGCCAGCGTAACATAGCGTACTATGAACGAGAGAAAGCGCCAAATATCAATAAATTTAGTGAGGGAGACAAACGCCATGATTTGAAAGCGGCAAAGCAAATATAGCATAAAAAAAAAAATGAATCGTCCCGTGAATCAACGACTTGAAACAACAGACAGGCGTTGAAAGTCGCCTAAAGTCCGGCCCATCGTTTCCCATCGGAAAACAGCGGCTAGCAGAGAAGTTTGCTTGCCAGCCGCTCTTCGCCTTCGTCTTGCAAGTCCTCAGCTTCGGTCACGCCAACCGCGAGCGAATGTTCCTGCCATTTGCAAAATGTTCGCGCACTCGGACGAGGACTTCGGAGAAGAAGAGAGCAGGAAGGCAAGTACGTGACCGGCAACGGTCTAAAAGTAAAGTAATCGGCGCTCACTGAATACCCGGCTCATTAGGGAGGGTCAGAGTGAGCGTAGGCCATTGATACGTTTTCTTGGAAGTCCTACATGCGGGCTCGGCAAAATACACACTGCCGAGTCCGCTAACGGACAGACACATGCATATCAATCCACCAGAAAAGAACGCTCCAGCATACGTAAAGTCCGAGCGGTGTCCAGGTGGAAAGAGGTGGAAGCGTGACATGCTCGCAGAACCCAAGGCCACGACAACATGGGCGCGTATTCCGCGGAGTCTTCGAATATGTTTCAGGCAAAACCGTCGGGGATCCCAAACATCGAAAATGTATATGCCGCCACACACTCGTTCTCCGATAGCTGTTAGTTCTCGGACATAGTGTTCGAGTGAAACGAATAATAGTCTATATGGGCGGCCGCAGTGGTACCAACGGTGGACGAGAGACAGGCGTCTGGCTCCTCAGAAGGGAAAGCCGGAGGAGGTCTAACGACCACTGGTCCACTATAAGACTGAACTATTGTACGGGAGCACACAGAAAGACGCGATATTCCGCCAGACCAACAATGGGGGGCGGACTCAGACGTCAGCATCGCCACGTTGGATCCATAACGACGGAAATACCGTATTACATACTCCTTGGAATGGATGAGCCCACCCAAGCCAATGCTCTGCATGAAGAAGAGTGGTTCCATAGCTCCGTGGAAGCGGTAAACCCGCCTGTTGAGAAGCACAATGACCACTAGACTACTAGTCAGCGCTGACTTATAGTCTAATGGTCATTGAAGCAAGCCGATGTACCTCTTGTACCGATGCAATTTCCGGGCAAGACAGCGCTGATCACAGGGATGGCAACCCTGGGGGGACGTGTTCGTGGCTGCAAAGCTACATCGGACACGGGCATTGACTTTTGTTGATAAGCATGATGACCACTAGACTACTAGTCAGCGCTGACTAGTAGTCTAGTGGTCATTGTGCTTCTCAACACCAGTGTTGAGCTCGAGGTGTTCCAACAGAAACACCAGTNGTGTTCGTGGCTGCAAAGCTACATCGGACACGGGCATTGACTTTTGTTGATAAGCATGATGACCACTAGACTACTAGTCAGCGCTGACTAGTAGTCTAGTGGTCATTGTGCTTCTCAACACCAGTGTTGAGCTCGAGGTGTTCCAACAGAAACACCAGTCAGTGTTGAGCTCGAGGTGTTCCAACAGAAACACCCCGCGCCCGAATGTTTGCTCTCCGTGTCTCCGATCTCCAGGGAAGAAGATAAATTGACTACAACTACAACATTGACTATGTTGCCGATTGCGCCAATGCGCAACCACGGATGACAGCAGATAGATGTGACATAATGTCACGCCAGCTAAGCGGCCAGTTGGCAGCTCCCCGTCACTATGTGGACGGGTAGGCACGCGTGACAGATGCCAAGGCTGTTCCCTCGACCTCGAGGTGTGCACAGAAAACATACACCCGCGGCCGGTTTATTGTCCGATCGATTCCCCTGTAGCAAAGCATCGCGGTGAGATAGATTGCACCATATTGCACAACCTACTACGTACATGCTGCGGTGTAGCGGACAGCAATATGCCACGGCAGGCCATCAAGTGGCCACTCAGCAGCAGCATGCCATCGCCACTATTTCGATGGTATGATCAGATAGGCACGGGGCTTGCCACCGAAGGGATAGGAAGGAAAGGGTAGCTCGTACGCACGAGCAAAGGTCACGTTATCGCAATCAAGGTAGCATGGACGAGGCCAGAGCTGTTTCGCAGGTACCGCCGCGTTCCGACGCGACCCTTCCGGCGATCGAATCGTCGTGGAAGAAAGACCACAGCGCTCACCAAAACCCACAAGTCATGGAAATAGAAGAGCGCCACCAAGCATGGGCGGCGCATCACACGTACATGGATGGACTCGAAAGCCTATCAAGCTGAAGTATAAACAAACATGCATNACGAGCAAAGGTCACGTTATCGCAATCAAGGTAGCATGGACGAGGCCAGAGCTGTTTCGCAGGTACCGCCGCGTTCCGACGCGACCCTTCCGGCGATCGAATCGTCGTGGAAGAAAGACCACAGCGCTCACCAAAACCCACAAGTCATGGAAATAGAAGAGCGCCACCAAGCATGGGCGGCGCATCACACGTACATGGATGGACTCGAAAGCCTATCAAGCTGAAGTATAAACAAACATGCATATGGCTCTCCACAAACAGACAAACGAGTCAGAGGGGGCAAATGTACCCCCACTGAAGCCGGTACAAAACCAAATGACTGAAACAAAAGAAAGAGGACAGAAGCACAGAAGAGCAATAACGCGAACTGCGGTGCACCAGTTAAGGACCGGAGTCCAAATGCTAGACGACGCCACGATGTTATGGAGGAACAAGGAAAAAAAAGGGAAGGGAGCACGATCGCTGCTCCTTGCTGGCTCACTCACAGTTTTTGTTGGATTTCATGTTTATCTAATCCTCTTCATACCTAGCCCGCGTTCAGCGCTCACAAGTCGAGAGTGAGGACGGGGGCAATAATCTTAAACACATCAACCAACAACGAAAGTACAAAATATCCATGTCATGATGTCATGATCACACAACGCTCACATACAGCAGTAGACTAGTTGCTCCATTACATGAGCCCGACATACAAAAATGATCGCCACCCCCCGCTCCTTCCTCAAGGAGACGCGTTTTTGTCCTGCTGATTATGCCAGAGAGTCAAACGACAGATGCCTTGAGGCTTCCCACCACACGAAGGGCTGCGTGATCAATTTTCTCGGGACGAAACAAGCACCGTACACACACGTGGAAACAAACTGCTCAATGTTGTGTGTTGTTCGTTTGCCGATATTGGAAGTTGGGAATGAATGTGGGCATGGAAGACGGGAACCGACCAAGGGCAGGTGTTAGAAAGTCACCGCCTCCCAGAAATTATTTGTCGCCTTGGTTGTACACGTGGCACCAAGGATTTGCGGGAAAAGTTGTCCCGCACACCTAGTTACCCCCCCCCCCCCCCCC